CGTCCAATCACAATCAGGAGGTTTCTACCCGCGCTTCGGTTGGTTGGTTAGTCGAGTGATAAGTCGATTTATTTTATCGGGTGAACCGTGGCTCACTTGTTATTTTGGCTTAAGTCTTACGGAGCCCGACTCTCGGCTATCTGGTCAATTCGTCGCCTCGATCGGATACTCTTATTTGCAAGGTTTAGGGCGAATTTTGTCGCTGCCTGTGTGGGATATCCAATAAGACTTTCTGCTTGGATTAATTACGACTCGCCCTTGGCGGATTTTGTCGCTCCCGGGCGATGAGCCATGTCCAGAGTTTTAACCCATCTCGAGTTTAAAGACGTGGTTTCACCTGCTTGACGGTCGATTGTTTACTCTTTGAAATTTTTTTTTATTTTTAACCTTTCGTTCCCTTTGAGATCCATTGACATTTATACCAGCAGCTCTGGCGCATGCCGAATGAATTTTTTTTAATCTAAACAAATAGTAAAAATTTGCACATTTGCGTGGCGGACGTCCAATTGAAATGAAATTTCCAGCTGGAGATTAGCATGGTTAGAAGGTTTCAGGCTGCCTTTAATTAATTTGAACTAAATCTATTGTCTGAATGTTGGTTCACGATCAAATCAAAAGAAGATGCTGAGCACACAAATTTGAGTATAAATTAAAAGGAAAATCTGGCATCATTGTTAATTTCTGTAGTTTTTATGAAGTTGCTGGAATTGATAAATTTTTAGGTACATAAAATTCTGGGATCATTTACACACCCCATAAGGAATAGAGCCTAAATAAGGAAAGAGGATATAAAGATGTTGAATATGAGTGCAAATAAAGGGAAAAAAATATTGGGAAAATGATCAGTAAAATTGATGTTCGTCTTAGATTTTTCCCCCCTTTTAAATTACAAATAGTGCTCATTTATTTATAGGGTAAGAATCATTATAGCATGATAACTATATTCCTAGTATTAGATGTTGGATTGGAGATGCCCGAACAAAGTTGGTCGGACTTAGGGTCCGTTTGGGACGGCTTATTCGGTGCGGCGGCGTTTTGAAAAAACACCTGACTTGTTTGGGTAAACTATTAAACCCCTGACTTGTTTGGGTAAACTATTTTTTGGCAGTTTATGCGTTTTCAAAACGCTGAAAAAAACGTTGTGCGGTGACATCTTTCTGACAGCGGAAAATGATCAGTAAAATTGATGTTCGTCTTAGATTTTTCCCCCCTTTTAGATGGTTTTTCCAAAAAAAATAAAAATTTGTAATAACAACCGCACATAGCCTATCCACTATATTCCTAGTATTAGATGTTGGATTGGAGATGCCCGAACGAAGTTGGTCGGACTCCTTACTGGAACTGGTCGGGCCAAGCAGAGCTAGTGGGGTCAAATAGAGTTGACCTGTCCGAACAAAGTTCGTCGGGTTGAACTGAGCTGGCCGAGCCGAGAGGAGCTCGCTTGGCTAAATAAATCTAGTGTTGAGCCTGACTAAAGCTGGTGGTAGGGCCGAACAGAACTTGTCCATTGAGCTTGACTAGAGTTGGCTAAGCCGAATGGATGGGTTTTATTATTCTCTCGAATAAATTCTCTAATGCATTATATGTTGCTAGTCATTCAGCCATGGCTCGATTCTTCCCATTGTATTGCTCCTCTTCTTATTGGTAGTATGAACCATGCTCATTGCAACTTTTAAGATGTTGAATTAAAAATTGTCCTTGAATAACATCAAAGGAATAAAACATGAGAGAAAAGTAGGAATTCATGGAAAGTTAACTATAGTCTATAGAATAAACATTAAAATTTGTGCCCCCCTCAATTTTTTTTTTCTTTTTCCAATTACAAATAATACTCCCTGTTTAAAGGAGAATTATCTCTATTTATAACAGAATAATCATTATAAAATGACAATTATACCCCTACTCTGATGCAATTGACTGGATATGGTTGAAGGTCGCTGGTTGAGCCTAACAGAGCTGACTGGGCCGGCTGGAGCAGGTTGGGCCTAATGAAGCTGATGGCAGGATTGAACGAAACTGGACGTGTCGAATGGAGCTGGTGGTGGGGTCGACCGGAGCTGTTTGAGTCGACTGGAGCCAGTTGTTGGGTCGACAGGACCTAACCAAACTGGTTGTAACTGATGGTCGAGCCGAATGAAGTTGGTCTGTTAGGCCGAAAGGAGCTTGCTGGACCGTTGGAGTTGGTTGGGCAAACTTGATCGAGCTAGTTGTCAGGCCGACTGGAGAAGGCTGAGTTCAGAAGATTCTTTGGACCATCTAAATACCTTAAAACTACGAAAGAAAATTTTTGCACTATAGAATATTATTTTTTAAACCTCTTTATTCATTTATTTTTTCAATTATTTAAGGAAATGTTCTCTCATGAAATTGCTCGTGAAACATTCATTGAACTGTATGGTTTATGAGGATTGGTTTGAATCACATTTATCTCTTAATCAATTGTGGAATCTAAATTATGTTCCGGATGAGCAATTATAGCATTGAAATCTATAATTTCTCTATAATATCAATTCCGCCCCACTCTAAATATAATAATATATTTAAATTATGTAATTAAATGATTAATTGTTTATGAGATTTAATAAATTAGCTTTATTTAATTATATTAAATAATTATTTTAACGTATAAAAGTAAACAACGTATTAAATAAAAATAATCTTATTTAGTGTCAATAAGTAATATATATATATATATATAAGTTTCTAAATGAAGGCATAAATGGTCCCATAAAATCTAATCCCCACACATCAATATATATATGTGCAAGGGGTGATCTCCTCCCCCTCCAAGTGTCAATTGTACCAGCTTCTCCACGGTGGCGGCTGCTGTCTTCATCCGAGCTTCTCGAACAGATTGGTGGTCTCCTTAGACTCTTTTATAGATTCCACCTTATCCGACCTGGTATTCCTCCTCAACGAGCATTCAAATGTTCCGTCTCCATTCCCCGCGGTCGATTAGGCCGAATCCCATTTAGCACAGCTGCGATTGCTAGCTCGACCAATCTCCGATCCCCTTCCCTTCCGACGGGATGTCCGAGAAATTAACGGATTCCATGGTCGACATCAAATTCCAGGAGTTCGCTTCGGATTACATGTCCTGCTCCGCAATACATCATTGGCCGGATCCTTCAACCGACCTGCTGGAACTTTCAGGGGATTTCTCCGATTCCTCCAGCTTCAGCTACGACATCTCCGGCGAAATCCAGCGGCTGGCTTCATTCTTCGATGGCGAGGTTTCTAATTCGGATGAGGAAAGAGGGGGGAACGAGTTGGGTCTAGGGTTTCTTTCTTCCGTCTCTGACGAAATCCTCGAAAGCGGGTCGCCGGCAATCGTAAAACCCTTGGTGAGATCCTGCGTAGAGACCCTTGGTACGTCCTTTGCTTCACTGGATGCAAAACGCGCCGCAGCGGGCAATCTCCGGCTTCTCGCCAAGCACCGATCAGATTTCCGCGAGCTGATCGGTAGATCAGGCGCGATTCAAACCCTAATCCCACTTCTCCGATGCACCGACCCTATCGCGCAGGAGAACGCAGTCACCGCACTCCTCAATCTCTCCCTCGAAGAATCCAATAAAACCCCCATCACAGCCGCAGGAGCCATCAAACCTCTGGTCTACGCTCTACGAACTGGAACGGCAACCTCGAAGCAGAACGCTGCTTGCGCGCTGCTGAGTCTATCGATGATTGAGGAAAATCAGATCATAATCGGGGTATGCGGCGCGATTCCTCCGCTAGTTTCGCTTCTGGTTAACGGATCAAGTAGGGGAAAGCAGGATGCTCTGACGACGCTTTACAAGCTGTGCGATGCTCGGCAGAACAAGCAACGGGCTGTGAGCGCAGGGGCTGTGACGCCACTTGTGGCATTAGTAGCAGAGGGTAGAGGTGGAACGACAGAGAAGGCGATAGTGGTTTTGAGCAGATTGTCGGAGATAAAGGAGGGGAGAGAGGCGATTGTGGAGGAAAGTGGGATTCCGGCGCTTGTGGAGGCTTTGGAGGCAGGGCCTGCAAATTGGAAGGAATTCGCTGTTATTACGCTGCTCCATCTTTGTAGAAATTCCGAGCGCAACAGAGGGCTCGTTGTGAGAGAAGGAGTTGTTCAGCCACTCGTCGCTCTATCTCAGTCTTCTTCTTCCCGCACCAAACACAAGGTTAGAAGTCGCCGCCGGTGATCTCCATCGCCGGTATGGTGACGAGGTCTGTTTTTTTTTTTCTTTTTTGGGGGCAATTACATACAAACTTGCTATTTACAAAATCAACCACTTTTTGGGCGAGCTTTCCGTAATTGATCAAATCGACTATAATCGGATTTCATAATCCAAAAAACCGAACGAATCAAAATTTTGCCAAAATCAAACGTCAAAATTTGATTCATTTTAAAAGATTTGATTATAAAAAAAAATTAAAATTTAATTATTTAAATTTAATTCAAAACAAGCATTATAAATTAAATAGTTTATCCACATAAAATTTATTTTATATCGTGAATCATCTTTTTATTTCAATTAAATATTAAATAAGTAAAAATTTTAATTTTTTTAAAGTTTATTTAACATGAAATTAAAATATATTAATTTTTTAATAAAATATTAATTTTTCTGTTTAAATGAAAATTAAAATCGAACTGAAAATTGAAAATAAAATATTAAAGTTTTAAAATAAAAAATTAGGAAAAAGAGATAACTTAATAATTCGTATAATGATTTCTCACGTTCCAAAGTCAAGTTAATTATAACTATATTACGGTATTATTTCTGAAAAATATTAGTTTGTTACAAAAGGGCGACCTGACTTTCCGTGGGGGATTGGTTCTGTTATGCAAATTTGATGTTTTATTTAATGGAAACATTGTTATTTTCATAATATAATAATGCTGTACCCGCAGGCGCATTTGCTGCTGAAATATCTCCGAGAGCCGCGACAAGATGGCCCATTTCCACCCGCACGAGGGAAATGATTTGTTCTTGTTCCACGTGGTCTTATTCAAGATGCAGGGCGTCCAGGTTGGTGATGGTATTGAAAAAAATGTCTTAGAATTACATACATACCACAATTCTTTCTTATGTATTTACACATTAAACGTTTAAATTTATATATCAAGAGGGTTCATCAAGTACAAGTTTATGAAAGTTAACATAAGTTGCTCCTCATTCTTTATTGCAAATCACTACATAACAAGAAGAGACTCGGATAGTTCAAATAGATATAAATTTAAGGAGATTTTAGTATATCAATCTAGAAACTCTCTTGTGATACAAGAATATGTTTCAAGTTCTTATGTGAATTTTCTTTCACCGTCGGTGACTTTCTTCTGTAAAACAATGGAGTCTTTCTCATTTCATTTAGATAATATCATATTGCGAGTCGAGATTCTTGAAGATACATGTTTCTTTTGAAGACAATGGTTGATATCCCAAGAATCGTGATTGAAAATCTTCTCATATTATTTTGGGCGATATCGTGCTTTAAGCTCATATATTCAAAATTCTTATGCAGTTGAAATCCCCCCTAGAAAATATTGGGTGTATATATATAAGCCCTAGACCCAAAGCCTTCAATATAATGCATTCCTGATCTAGATGATTGAGGAATTCTTGTCTTGTAAGAGACATTTTAACCACACTTTTTTTTTAGGATCTTAGCATGAGGCACGATGTCACTCTGAATATTTGGTTCCTTGTCTATCAAAGAAGCGATTCTTGTATTTAATAAATGTATTTGGGTTTCTCGGCTTAAAATATGATTCAACCCATATTTTATTTATTAATATTTTTTTTTTATAGGAATGGTCGGAGGCTATTATACGAGCCCCGATCATCCCTCATGCGCCTAAGAATTCGAGTACAACACCCTACATTCGGGGAAAATCGAACCCCATACTAGAGGGGACTTACAATTGACAAGCAGATGCCCGTGCCCGACCAACTGATCTGAGTACACGGCGCATGATTCAACACAGATATATATATATATATATATATATGATATTATGCTATAAGTTGAGTTCCCCAAACACCCCAATGATCGAATTCACTTTATCAAATTAGGAGGCCCCATCTTTAATACAGTATTTAAGTTGAAGAATGAGATCCGAGCTGCAAGGGTTGGTATCATGCCCAATATTGAAATCTTCTGCTTGAGTTGATATCGTGCTCATGACCAAGAGCCCTAGGAATTAGAGTGATATTGTGCTTCATGGCAAGATCCCCAAGTAGATATTAAAGTTATCAATACTAATGATGTATTCAGTCGATTAAAAGAAAATACAACAAGTTGCAAATAAAGTGTAAAAGATGATTCCATAAGCCAGATGTTCGTCTCTGAGATCCGCCAAGGTCCTGTACATTAGGGATTAAGTTGGAGAAGCACAAATCTCCTTTTGCTCAAGTCTAAGACTGAGTGATGATATATGTTAAATATGATGTGATTTAAAACAATATTTCTTATGAATTTTGTGTCATTTTATGTTTTTTGAGAGTGTATGCAGTGTTATATGCAATATGCATGTGAAAATTCAGGACATGGAACAATTGGAGCACAAATTGGAGAAATCAATAGGCAAGTGCTTCAACGCTCGATGCAATCCATTCTAACGAAGAATCAAAAGAAGGTGACACTCGAACACTAGGCCCTTAGCACCCCAGCACCCAATGTCAGCGCTGCCTTGCCACTAAGGCAATCTCTCATATACCAGAAGCCCTAATTTGATGACCCGGAGGCACGAAATATAGTGTTGCAAGCCAACACAGCTACGTCCACATCAATGCCACCTTGTGAGTATCAACGTGCCTTTAACCAACTTAGGATGATTTTGGTGGTTTTGCCGAGTGTTCCGATGCGACAAAACATATCAGGATTAAACTTCTTCGTGGAGAGGAGGCTGGCAACATTTTGGGAGAGCCTAACTCCACACTTGGGAGAGAAAAGTGAATTGTGGAGATTTCTAGTGTGATATACTTGTTTTATGTGAGAGAGAGTGAGACTGTGATTGTAGTAAATGAGGAAATTTCATAGGAAGATCCAATCTTGGGAGCATGGTTTCATCCAACTGGTTTTTCAATTCCTTTTAATTTATAGACTTGGTTTAAATTTATTAATGCAATGCATAATTTTCATTTCAAACCATGATTTAGACTTAATCTCTTCTCTTTTGAATCAGTTAACCTTAAAATCTACGGGATTTCATGTTAAATTTTTGAACTTATAAATGAAGAAGTTGATTTATCATTTTAATCTTAATTTACATTCAAACTAATCATTTGGATCGTTAAAATTAGTTGTAATTTGCAACCGTCATATGAAGGCTAGAAGCGCAACTAGCTTAAAATACAGGAGTTTAGTGGAATTTGAATGTTGCTAGTAGACTTTTTCAATCATATATAGAGAATGTGGATGTCTTGGAATTTTTGAAAGTAGTGCTTTAAAAATAGCTCATCGTTCATGAAATGAACGTATTCGAATAGTTAAACAGTTCGTGTTCGATTTTTTCATCAAGCAAACGAGTCAACAAATAAAACTTTATTTGTCTGTGTTCGGCTGATTTTGCTCTAAAATAATGAATACTAATATTTATTTATATCCTTTTATATTAATTTTTATATGTATTAACAAAATGTTAAATTCTATTATTTTAAAAAATTATTATTGTGATATATTTATAAAAAAATATAAGTATAGTTGTTAGATATGTAAATTAATAGGATATGCATGTAAACATCCTAAAATCCTACTGCCACCCCCACAGTTCTGCTGTCTCACTTATTTTTTTGTTGAATATGTAAATAGACAAAATTTGGCCCATATGCGTGTAAATTCTCCTAAAATATTGCAAGTATGCCACCTAAAGTACTTACTTCATGAAATTCCTTGAACCTTTATAAAAGTTAATTATTTCAGAAGTTTATTAAGAATAATTTATTTATATATTTTCATCAAGGAAGCAGCTCTAATTTAATTCAAGCTAAACAAGAGCCCATTAAAATAAATTCAACCCCAATACAAAAAATAATAATAACAATAAATAAACTGAACATGAATAAGCCCCGAGCTTGCTCAAGTTCGGCTTGTTTACATGCTTACTTTTAAGGTTTGGGGAACCTAAATATAACACGAAATTCTATGACTCGAATCTCAAAGTTGTTGACGTGAATCTCATAGCAATCGGGCGGCTCAGGATGATGGAAAGAAAATCGAGGCATCAAGTTACAAGGACGTGATACAAGTTGACCGTCCAACAACCGACGACTCAGTCGGAGCCATTTGACACGTCATCAAGAAGGATTCAAGTGGCGGGCCACGCCTATAGTGTTGACATGCTTGAGTTTGGTCGACCAAGGTGACCGGTTGAGTTGCGATCGTGCATGCCGAAGTAAAAGGCTGGTCGGTCGAAATGCTGTGGTTGGGTCGCCCTTGTGAAGAATTGGTCACCACCACATTTAAATTCAAATTATAATATAGGTTTAGCAACTAATCATCATGATTAAATTGTATTAAGAACATTTTTCATAACCGTTCACTTTTATATGTAATTGTACAATTGCGCCTCTATAAATAAGAGGTAAAAGAATGAATAATAGGGACCTCTCCAAATTTCTCTGCAGGGACTTCCTCAGTTACATTTACTCTCTCTCATCCTCCTTCTCCTGGCTCTAACCCCCGATGCATGTTTTCAATAAGGACAATTTAGGATACAATATTTACTTTTTTTTTTCATTTATAGCACCTAAATTTTTCTCATCACATCAAAAATATCACTATTTTAAGTTTTAAAAATCAAAATGCACATTTTCATCATAGATAATGTGGCATATACATGTATATCAAGAAACTGTCAACATGAATTCTGAGGAGTCAAACGGTTCAGAAGAAAGGAGGTATAACAAAGAATGACCCACTGAAAAGAGACGAAAAGACCCAACATACCCCATTTTTGAATCAAGGGTGAAGGCTAGCCGAGCCAGATGAATGAACGAAAGAAACATCAAAGTCTGAACTGATCAAACTAGAACAAACAAGTCAACATCCGAGCCAATCACTACTGAAAATTTGAACGATGGAATCGACCTACCTCTCGATAGATCTGAACCGATGAAAGAATCTGGTTCTCCGACATCACTTGTCATCTCATAGCCGCCCCCGAAGTTCCTTATTAGGAACTAATAATTGACAATAAAATGGAGAAAATCTTTCTGATCGACTCTCATCAAGGAAAAAGTTATATATCAAGTTATGGTGACTCATCCTCTGCTCCATAGCCTAACCTTATCTTGCCAATAGAAACTCTTCATCTAGAGGTTGAGAGTCAATAGTCATACTAGATTAACCGATAAGTAAAAAGTCTAGCCGACCGAGTCAGTTCTGCTGACATCAAGCTAATCAAGTCTAGCCAAACGGCTAAACTGGCTCAGCCGAGCTAACTGAATTAGCCTTACCGACTTGAAATCATGCTAGCCCAACAGACCTAAGTATAGGGCAACAGAGCAACAGACACATACATGTAAAATATCTAGAATACTCCGTACCCCATTAAATCGGAGACGTAAATGTAATATCACATATTATACTCTCTCCTGTAAATAACAACATTATTTCATGAGAAATGGACACATACATGTAAAATATCTAGAATACTCCGTACAACCCCATTAAATCGGAGACGTAAATGTAATATCGCATATTATACCCTCTCCTCTAAATAACAAAATTATTTCATGAGAAATAGATAATAAATAAGACGTTTTACAATTCATTACTGTCTTTTTTTCTCTCTCCTCCTCTCATTTCTCACGCCAACTCTTGAGATATGATTCACAGACAGAAGATGATTCAACACTATGTAAATATTGAAATTTAATTGTTATATATATAAATTCATATGAATTGAGTGGCATATATGTAAATCTTCCTAATTTTTTTTTAAATACATTAGATTAATAAACTAATACAATTAATAATAATCTAATTTCGCTCTCGAAGCTAAGCTATCATTATCAATCAGGGTTTGGCACTTAAAAATCTAACGAACGAAAACGATCACGACTGCGAAGCAACCGAATCTCCATTTTTAATTTATAAATATATATTAAGCTAATCACCGGCCAATTATTTTCTAAAATTAAAGTATTCAATAAAAAAAATTATTTCAAGCTTTAATTCCACATTTTTATAATATTGAAATATTAAATTAATTTGGCATATTATTATTAAAAAAAATGAAAATGGGTGGCCAAAAATGGGTTGGTTGGACAAACATTGTTTGGCGAGCTAAGCTCGAATTAAATTCAGTTTCTAACGTTAAGATTAACGTAAACACAAATTATAATTTCAACACGTCAGTTCAACTCAACTTTATATATATATATATATATACACAAAATTCATTTTCTTTCTTTATCTGTAGTTACGACTGTGAGAACCCAATTTGGACTAGGGATATATATATATATTAAGTACATAGCCAAAATGTTTATGATTGGTGGAATGCTTCTAATTAGATGTAATCCAAAAGAAAGAAAATCACTTCATGTTTATTTCTACAATCTAAGAATAGAAATACAATTATATGGAATTAATCCAAGTGTCTTCACGTAGGGTGCGTTTGGGAGGGCGTGACATGTCGTTTGGTTTGAGCGTCTCGCAGGCGTTTTCAAAACGAAGTTTTGGTTTTATTAAAGGAAGCGGGACGCGAGATCGACCCCGTGTCCTGCTTCCAAGAGGTGTGTTTGATTGGGAAATAGATCCTGTGCCCTTCTGCTTCGTGTGGTGGATGGAGGGAGAGAGTGATCGAATCGGAAGAACCCGTTAACTATGCGCTCAATAGCAGATTCCACTTCCACGGCTGGCGACAAGGGCGATGTCCGGAAGAGCTCCTCTCTCTCACGTGACCCTAACGGCGAACTCGTCCTCTCCCTCTAGCTCTCGAGACCGAAGCCACGCCCCGGTCCGTCGCTGGCAGACCTCACTGGGGTCTTCTTTCTCTCCAGCTTGTGAGAGGGTCATCTAGGGAGGCGAGGATGGGATTGCGGCTCTGCTTGATTGCTCGACTTTCTTGTTTGAACGCTCGATTTTCTTGCTTGTTTGTTGGCTCAAGTAGGTTGCTTGACTGCTCGACTCAAGTGGGTTGCTTTCCCTGTTTCTCTGATTGCTTGTTGATTATGCATCTTCAGAAAGAATTGTGGCTTATATTCATTTTTAGCCTGAAATTTATTTTCCTTGACTAATATATAAATGTCAATCTTGATTTTTTACAGCACAAGCTTGCCAAATTTTGTGATCTCTGTAAAACAACCTACAAATCAGGGGGTAGATTGATCATTTATCCGGAATCTGCAGTTTTCCAAACGCACAAACCAAACAGCCAGTCAGCTTATCCGAATCAGCTGGTCATTAGCAGATTATCAATTATTAGCAGATTATCAGGATAAGCTGCTTATCAGCATAAGCTGGATAAGCTGCAGCTGCCCCAAACAGACACATAGTCTTTAGCACTTTATGTATTTCCCAGAATAATAAATGGGATCACCTTGAATAAATGTTTATGGTTAATGGAATTATTCTAATTAGATTTAGGGGTCATTTGGGGCAGCTTATAGGCACGAGCGGCATTTTGAAAAGGTCATTGTGTCGCTTGGTTCATGCATTCAGAAAGGTTATGGTGAAACGCGGTTTTAAAATCCTTAATAGACGGATCGCGACCCACGCCTAGGATGTGTGTTTGACTGCTTCTTTCCTCTCGTGCTCTTTAGTTGTCTTTCTCCTCCCTTGATCGGTTTGTCTCTCTCCCTCGCCTCTCTCCCTCGCCTCTCGGTCAATCGATCTTACTCTATGTAACATCCCTCACCTCTCTCCCTAGCTTCCCGTTGGATTGCTTGTTGGTGAGTTGGCTCACTTCTGGTTGAAACATATATGTACGATATTTTCAATATTTTTTGCGGGATTTTTTGGCTTCAATGGAGGATCTCTCTGCTTCGTTGTGGAATTTTTTGATTGCAAATGATTTTTTGCTTGAGGGATTTTTTGGTTGCAATAGG